ATTTGGTAATTTTTTTTCATCAAAAATAAGATGATTTATCGTAGTGTGCTAGTTGGAGTCTATTCGCTTGAAAAAAATGGAAACGGTGAGCGTGAATGACAGCGATGAATCATTGTAGCCGAAAAAATAGTTGGCAGGGTAAACTCTATATAATTTTGCATCAAAAATGCATGTGGATATGACAATAGTTAATCATAATGACCATAATACTTAAAGACTGAAAGATTATCATTTGCTTGCAATTTATAACGCAAATGTAAAATAAAAAATAAGTAAATAAGACACTAGCATAAACAAGATTAAAATTTGTTCACTTACAGCAGGATTATGTATAATTTGTTTAGGATTCAACAAAAAATCTTCAAAATTTCCCGTTTTATTAGTAGTAACATGAGGAGTTTCAATCATTTTACTCTCTAGTCTACGGAGTTGTGCGTAACTCGACTAACAGGACCTCCCAGCTGTCGTAAAGTTACGTACAACTTCTTTACGTAACTTGTGCCGAAATGGTTTGATGATACCTCCGTTTCGAGTTACGTCTACTTAGTAGTACTTAAGCATTGCGCAAGTGGCTATGTATTCTTAGCATTTTGATAATTCGGCCCCTGGAGTTAGATGTCCTATGACAAGTGATAAATGCGTTTCCAAACTGTATTGTCTGAATGCCAGTTTAAAATATTCACTCGGTGCTGATTGATAACAAGATAAGTAGCCCGTATTAAAGCAATCATCTCCTGACAAGCATTTCTCCAATGGAGTTCGCGGTTTCTTCTGTATTGCAATAAAATTGAGGATGATGCCACTACGCCATTTACATACTGAAAGAGAACAAACACCACTTTTGGTGTTTGAGAACAAACCATATATACATACTGTATGCAAGCATATATAATATTTTATATGCATCATTGACATGAGTACTTATATCATTAGTTTGCTGAAATCGCAACGTAGCCGAGAATTTAAAAGCCAAGGAAATGACGTTTAAATTAACAATATCTCTACCGAAAACATTTAAAAAGCAAACTCCATTGTCAAACTGAAAAAAAATTTTAAGCAATACAAGTACCATCAATATAGAGGGGCAAATTAAAAAAAAAATGAATCAGAGTACCGAATAAGCGGAAGATATGCCTTTCTTGAAAAAAGTCCAATTCTTATTTTACTGTTCCAATTTACCTGCAGCTGTTCTGCGTTGCCTAAACGTGACCAGATAAATAACTTAGAATTTAACTGGGGCGATATCCAGAGGTTATGGTTCTCCAACCACGACAAAATATACTTCGTTATTGGTTAAGTGCTTCAATTGCCAGTTATGTTCGCTTGCTCTATCTTTCGGAATCGATGATCAGCTTGTTATTAATTAACAATTGTTCTTTAAATAAACTAGTGAAAGTCATGACATTAGAATTGCTCATACTAGACAATGTGGCAGTTTAAAAAAAAACAAAATGTTCTATCGATAGTAAGGCATTTTGCTGTGAGTATGTTGAACTTCAGGATTGTGATCGCACCTGAAATAAGTGTACGAAAGCGTTGGTGGTAAATTCAACCTTGATAGCTACACATCAAGTAGATGACATTTTGCGAGTAAATTGATGTAGCTATTCACATCAAGCGATGTCAACCGAATACAAGAATTAAAACATTTCAAGTTACGCCTGAAGCGTTCCGATTGGAGGTATCAGTTGCAATGTTAACTTAAACTCTACGTATTGGCGGTACGAATTGGTGCAGTCATAAGAGGATTTTGTCACCAGAGCAGGATGCCAGTTTATTAGTGTTGGCTAGAGTTCATCTTACACTTATTGGAGTCCAGTTGTGGCATGTCATGTCTTTTTACCGATGTTGATCAAGTCCTGCAGGTCTTGGACGATTTTTGAGTTTTAATAGCCATGGTTGAGACAATATCCTGGTTGAAAGGCTGCTTGGTGAACTCTTTGTAAATTGAATCAATGAAAGGTAACGTATTGGGTATCCGTAGGTCATGCAAAAGTTTAAAGGATTTATATTAACTCTAGTGGAGGATCAGTTCCTTCGGTAGTAATCGTACGGCGGTGAGGTAATTTTTTTTAGCTCCAGTCAGAGATCAGTAGCAATTCAGTAGTTATTTTTCTTCATTGTGCTAACCGGTGAAATTATTTGTTTTGTGATTATGATTAACGTCTTACGTAATTTCTTGCAATTTTTTATCTTTATGTTGACCATTTGTAAATTGAGGTATCAGGCTCGTTCATAATCATTGTTAAAGTTAATTATTTGCCATGTCGACTATTAATTATCATCATATTGTGAAATTCTGGTTATTGCAAACAATATCCCTGGTCAACACAAAGAAAAAAACGCGCTACAGAAAAAAAGCCAGTTTTGAAATCAGCAGCGAAAATGCTTTCCAGCCCACACAGGATGATCTCAGAACCATTTTTTTATGTTGACCAATGTAATTTGCTTTCAACGAGTACATTGATGATGTTACATCAACAAAAGAATTCCATGTGTACAGTTGAATTTTTTATTGAAATATCCTTTATTAATTCTTTTAAACTTAGACAAAGCAGTTCTCTGGGTGAGCGAAAGTAGTAGCTCGAGTTGAAGCCGCCGAGTTCCCATCATATCTTATCATAACAAAGTACTTCAAGTTGTATTGGTCCACGTGACTATACGTGAGTATGATTAGGAAGAGTCAAATAAAAAAGAACTATGTGAGTGGGCAAGTGGCTAGCGTTGATGGCGCCCGACACCGATACCACCATTGCCAAAAAGAACTCATATACATGGACTGTATAAGCAAAGAATCCATCTTAACACGCACTCCTCATGATTTTACTCCAGCAAACATTAGTATCATATATCTGAGGTAGTTTGGGATACAAATCCTTAATGAGGTTGGCCTGGAAGAGAGAACTATCACTCTGGTGAACTTGATCTAGGTCAAGGAGTAGGATGCGTCGCCAGGATGATCTTCTCATCTCAGCTATTTTTTATTAAACTTGCTGACAAGGGTAAAGGAAATTTTTAATAGATTTAAAAGTCAATCCTTCACGAACTAAAGAGATTTTCTAGAGAAGTTTTTCCTATTTATTCAGTTTGAGATAACATGTGAATCATAGGGACATAAGTGCCTATTACGTGCATAAGGCTTTTATCTTAGATTAGGTGATAATTAGACCTTTGTTTTATCGGTGCATATGACCTCGCTCATGTTAGAGTATTTAAGTCAACACATGAAAGAAAACTCGAGACATTCGGGGAGTTGTTACATCATAGTGACTGAGTAGCAGTTAATTGTGAGTTATTCCAACGAACTTATCTGTTGGGAATGTTGCTAAATTGTGTTGCTCATCCGACCTCGTACAAATACACATGCAAATTAACAAGTGCTTCCATTAAAGTAAACTGAGTGAGATAAGATAATCTTTGTGCATTTTTTTGAAACTATTTAATACCATCCCGACTTCCATACTTTGCACCAATAAGTGATGAATATTTCAGTTGACAGTAGCAAGACTACGTCTAGATCATGGGAACTGCGTTGAATTTAAACTTGCGAACATTTAAAAAAATTATTGCACGTCATGACAATAATTATAGTACCGGCAATTTTTAGAGTGGAAACTTGAAACGAAAACGAGTATCCTGAACAACTCATGAATAATTCATGTAAAGTACGCACAAACTGCCCATTATATTGCTTGCACTTTGGTACGTGTACAACTCATGCACTTACAGGTGTGCTACTCTAGTACTTGTGCTACTCTATAGTACTTGTGTTACTCTAGTACTTGTGCTACTCTAGTACTTGTGCTACTCTAGTACTTGTGCTACTCTAGTACTTGTGCTACTCTANCTGTCTCTTATACACATCTAGATGTGTATAAGAGACCTCTATAGTACTTGTGTTACTCTAGTACTTGTGCTACTCTAGTACTTGTATTACTCAGGCGCTTGCTCTGCTCTGGTAGGGTTACATGGGGCAGAGAGCGCGCCCCTTGTATTGATACGAGGTCGTTCTTGGTTTTGTTTAAAGTTACAACTAATGAGAAATGTATGATGTGAATAGAACACCAAAGAATTTATCAAATTTTTAATGAAAAATTAATTTCTAAAAAGTACCGAAATTGGCCCATTGCTCTATCCCTGGGGCAATATAGGCAATTGGGTTTGGGGCAAGGTCCCCACCCCAGTTCCATTTTCCATATTTTTTATTTTATGGATGATAAAATAACCCTTTACAGTTCAACATAATAAAAACGTAATATAAAATTTTACGTCCATTCATTTGTCAACAACTTGAAAAAGTATAACCTTAACTTGACAGAAATATATGCTTAGCTTAAAAAATCTATCACTGACGTGAAAAAATATTTCCTAGACATAATAATTAATATTTATCATTGACTGAAAAAATAAATATTCTTGACCAGAAAAAACTTCCTGCCTGTTCCGTCCATAATCAAGAAATTATGTGCTGGGAAATCGTACTTACTCTTAATTTCAGCCAACACCATAAAAATTCATCAACTTTTGGCTAATTAGAGTCAACAACTCGTGCCAAACTTGTTGGTTGAGGAATGTGAATACTCAAATTGTGTTTTGGTTTGCTTGTTGAAAGAAAGATTTATGTTTTGTGGCTCAGCAATGACTGCCATTCTCCTCACATCTGTACATGTTAGCGCACGAATATTTTTTGCATATCTTTAATGCACGCAGCTATTGCTATACTTCCGCATCTTCAGGGATGGATTTCTCCTATCTTCCTAAACAACGAACTGCAGCTTGCTTCACCTTGCGATTTTTGTGCTGACACAACGTTTTCACAACGCCATTAGGTAACATTAATAATAACATTCAATTTACATCGGGTCAAAATTTAATTGCAAAAGCTAATAGTCCAAGTTTGGACTCAAAATTACCCTACTAAACACTACTTTCAAAATATAATTCATAGTACCTACAAAAGCTTCAGATAAAGTTATCGAAAACAGTTTTATTTAGCAGTGAAATAATTTTTATTTGGGCTAAAACAGGTATCAGCAAGTAACTTACCAACGCAAACTCTCAGCAAGAGCCGCACACTTCAGCCCAGTGAAAATGTCGACCGGCGGTAGAGCGCACGGACCAATGTCTGACATAATAAGTGGGAAAACCGCTATGGGCCCATGACCCGCAGTTTTTAAAATAACCTATTTACATGGGAGAGATGGTAGATAGTGAAATGTACATGTATATTTAGATCTAAGTAGAAAGAGGTTCAGTTTTAAGATGTATGCCATGAGGTACATTAACGCTTAATTACTTAAATCTAAGAGAAGGAACCAATTAACAATCATGTTCTCGGCGAGGTTTGGATACTTGACATCAACCCAAACGAGAGAGTTAGAATGACCCGTCCCTACATATGAACCGAGCAGGGAAGAGATATTAAAGTAAATTGTTGAAGATAATTCAGTGTGTGACAAATTATACAGCGAAATATGTGAATTGCAAGGTAAACAAAATAGCTTTCCGACTGACTTTTCTAGAAAATTGGAGGTTATTCAGACCAATTTTTTTCCAAAAATCTGACAGGCGTTGCGGTTTGTTCCCTCACTTCGATGGTATAATATTGAACAAGGTTCAGAGTTGAAGTAAGAAATTAGTGTTGGATATCGGTAAGAAGGCGATTTGTGCGGAAAAAATTTAATGATTGTATATGGAAGTATATAGGTATATCCAATTCTGAGCTCTTGAAAAAGCTATCGTGGTTCAAAAAAATTTAATGATAGTATATGGAAGTATAGGTATATCCAATTCTGAGCTCTTGAAATAGCTATCGTGGTTCAAAAAAATTTAATGATAGTATCTGGAAGTATAGGTATATCCAATTTTGAGCTCTTGATCGAAAAAGCTATCGTGGTTCAAAAAAAATTTAATGATAGTATATGGAAGTATAGGTATATCAAATTCTGAGCTCTTGACAAAGCTAGCGTGGTTCAGGATTTTATTTCCGTTAGTTAGAAGTGCCTGTACGCAAAGTCGCAACGTGCCAGAACGCTTTATGTTGATTGAAGTTTTGGCTAACGACAAATTATGAGACTTGATTGCACTGAAAATGTCGTCCTAAACTTTAAATTTATTATTGCATTTACTAACGTAGCGTATTTGGGAGGGACGAAAATAAACTAGAAAATTTAAACTAAAAAACTTTAAAAAACTAAAAAATGTAAACATTTGGTAACTATTTTTGTGATGAGCTAAAATTGTAAGTTAAAATCGAAAACCAAACTGAATTATTTCATTTCCATTCGTCGTCTGCAGCGAAATGTCCGACGAGCTTGACAGGCTAGAGCTGAGTGGAGGCAGGTATGCGCTGGCGCTCTCAGCGGCCCAACAGAAGAAATATGTCGAAGACTTCACCGGAACGCGGAACAAAATGTTTCGCATCCATCCCTGCGGAACTATTGTATGTGAAGGCTTCAAGTACATCGAAAAAGATGTTTATAACTTCACGGTCAGTTTCTGTTCTGAAGAAGAATGAATCTACTTTCTTGAGTCTCATTTAAATTCAAAACAAATCATGAAAGTCTGGGTGTTCATGCTGTTCACATTTTTTCCTCTAAAATTAATTGTACTAAAATTCAAATTTGTCAACCCCAAGATAAATAATGCAATATGTCACTAACGAAAACGTTTTAAAAAAATAACTCGAATTTTCTTGGTCGTGATTCGATGGTCCTTCTCAAATCGTAGCTTAACCATATATCTGCAAGTGAATACACATACTTTGCGTCTCACGAAATTCGAGATTCAGAATGAAGGGTGGTAATAAATTTCATGGAACCATTGGTAGCTGCTATACATTTCTGCCGTCCGTTTTCAATGAAATAACATAGAATGAACCTAACTGTTAAATGACCATTAACCAATTTTACTTTGTTATCTACGCTAATAAAATTAAATGCGCGTTTCTATATTGTGAAATGAGTTTAATTTGTAAATGTTCTTAGTGCTTACTTGGAACACAAATGTTTCTGAAATGCTCGCCTCGATGTGTCAACGTGGTATGTTCCCCCAGTTTCGCCCAGACGACGTGTTGGTGATGTCATATCTCAAGTGCGGAACCACCTGGACGCAGGAGATCATCTGGAACATGATTTACAGCCCTAACCAGGAACACGCAGACACTGATGAACCTTTAATCACCAGGAGTCCCGTAATTGAGTGAGAATCTCCCCACTTTTTCTACGCATCGATGGGACAGATTATTTACAAACTAAATAACGCTCGTTGAAATAAATTTCGAGAGATCTTCAAAAATTGTGAAGAACTCGGGTAGACCTATTTGAAATGAACTACCTTAGTAATAATTGACCATTTTCCGATTTGAAATATTATTATAATGCAGTATATGTTTTGCAATTTTCACTGGAATCAGGGCTGACATGTTTATGATGGATGCGTTGAAAAAGGTGCCAATCGACCACTTTCTCAAGGACCCCATGTTCAGCCATTACAGAACCCGCTGCCCAAATCCGAATCCAAATCGTGGACTCCATCTTCAGGTAATTAATGTTTCAATAAAAATGTTAAATTGAGAATAGAACATTTATCACTAACAATTGACATCTTAGGTAAAAATAAATTTTTTGTTTAATTCATTTAATTTAACTGGGCATCATCTTCGATCTCATTCCACAGAACGTGATTAAAACTTTAATTAAAAATTTTCCCGTATATGTTTGTAATATAAATGCAAATCTAGACAATCTAGATGTCAATTGACAACTTCAAAGCAATACGGATGTTGATGTATTATTCCTAGTCTTGTAATATCATTCAATGTACACAATTTTTTCGTCGCAGTTCGTACGCTTAAGTTGCAGCAGATAATCTGATTGTTTTTAGATACAACATCATACGATAGAGTTCGTGAAACTCACGAACACGCTGTATCTGCTGGTACTGAGTAATAATACCATATTGCATATACCTGTGCTATCTCTGCTAGTACCGAATACTGTATATGCTGGTAGAGTGTACCATTCAGGCACTGTATCTGCTAGTGCGCACAATCTGCTGGTGCTATATCGTGCAGGATGAATGCATTTGCCAGAACTGTATCTGTTAGCACGTACTGTATATTAGTGAATAGTGCTAGAAGTTTGTATCTGCTACTGTTTTCAATATGCCAGTACTATACCTGATAGTACTGTATAGATGATATGCAATCTATTTGCTGCTGGGTTAAAAAAAATTGTGCGTTTTTTGACAGAAAATTTTGCAGTAGCGAAGCACACTAAGAAAAATGTATTGGTCATATTTCGAAATTTATTACTTACTGCGTAGGTTTGGATCTAGTGCCTCCCTCCAGTTGGGTAGTCCAGGCCATATACAAACTTGTGTTTCTCGTCAATTTTCATCTGTCATTTCCAATTAAATAAATTCTTTGTGAGCAAGTTGAACATTACCTATATATTTTAGGAGATGCTAAGCGAATTTTTATTTGTTTGCTGAATGGCAAAATTACCGTGTTGCTACATAAAATTATAATCTAGTCTGTTAATTTGTTTCACAGTTGAAAAATATTTATGTCGCTTGATCTACGCATAATTTATGCACTCTATTGCTTCCACAGCTGGCGGAGTCTTACACTGAACGACGAGTTCTCAAAACTCATCTGCCTTTCTCCTGCTACCAGCCTGGCCTTCTTGACAAGTGCAAGGTATTCACTCTAACTAGCCCAGCCTACTTGACAAGTCCATAGTATTCACTCTAACCAGCCCGGCGTTCTTTACACTGCAAGGTATTCACTATTCATTCTAACCAGCCCAGCCTTCTTAATAAGTGCAAGGTATTCACTCACACCAGCCCAGTTTTCTTGACAAGTGCAAGGTATTCACTCTAACCAGCCCGACGTTTTCTACACAGCAAGGTGTTCACCCTAACCAGCCCAGCCTTCTTGACAGATGTAAGGTTTCTAGTCTAACCAGCCCGGCTTTCTTCACAAGTGCAAGGTATTCAATATAACCAGGTTGACTCTTTGACAACAGCATTGTTTTCACTGTGGCTCGCCAGGTGTTCTTGGCAAGTGTAAGGTTTTCGCCCAGAAGTGTTAGTTATTTACTTTGTCGGCTTCTCGATGATAGAACAGGTACAGGTTATATTAACATGATTTCTACAGTGAAGAGTATTACTGCGATCAGAATGGGCAATTGGCATAACCTATGGGGCATAGGAGATTCTCACAAAACACATTAAGGAGGGTCTAGCCTCCAGAAAAACTTCAACATTTACTAACGGATCTTTCTGAAACTTCGCACATATATGTAAAACCAAAAAACAAACACATTTTGTTCGGACGATTTTTCGGAAAATTATTAGAAAACGTGAAATTCATAGAAAACGGACAAAAAGGGGGGTACTTTAAAAATCTATCTCCTCCTAGAGTTTTAAAGCTACAGCGATGAGACATGTACCATTCTATTTATAAAGACCATACCAATTCCCCCCCCTCTTCCCCCCATTTTGAATCCAAACTATGTACAAATCCAAAAAATGCTTCGTTACTCGATAGGTATGGTCTTTACAAATCGAATGGTATATGTCTCATTGCTGTAGCTTAAAAACTTTAGGAGGAGATAGGTTTGCCGTGACAATAAGTGTGAATGTTCAGTACAGCCCGACAAAGTCCCGCGCGCATTGCAACAGGCACTCAATTTAGCAAGGATACGGAACTAAACGTTACTGGAACTCGATTCCACTCAAGGATGGTGAGAGCGACTGCATGCACACCTCCTCGTGCGAAGCCAGGCGGATTACTGAGCTGTTGCTCAAGCAGGCACTGTATATAATATAAAGTACTATGAACCGAATTAACTCCTATCTACTTTGGCAGAATGTAAGCTTCAAGGTGAATATAAAACCTAAAAACGCCAAATTTGCGACTCGTAGGCTAGACCCCCCCTTAAAATTGTACGACCAAGGTGACATATTCCATGGTTGAACTATGTAAGGTTGACCCACGAGGATTTCCGTCTATCTGTTAAGCTTTCTTTTTACGTTACTGAGATCGAGAAACGTGAACAAACCCGTCATTCCCATGACGGATTGGTTGACTGGTTTGATCGCATTCCGGTGAATGGTAAATGCCTGTGACGTCACTGAGATCAGTGACGTCACAGGCAAACAACGAACTACATCCACAAAAATAAGCTTCTGATGGGTCAACCTTATACTAGTTCAACCATGAAATGAACCATTATAAGTAAGATAATTTCTGCTTGGGGATGGTCTCGGATGAACCTACACTTACGCGGTATTTGTAGGCAGTTCTCTAATTATAGTCTGTTAAAGTTAATTTGTATACACGCGATAGAACTAGATATCTGCGATGCTTAAGGGGTCAATCGATAATTAGATTACATTCGTAACTTGGGTTTGTCTGATCCGCAGGTGATAGTGTGCGTACGTCACCCAAAGGACGTGATGTTGTCGTACCAACATCACTGCCGCCTCATCAAAACTCACGGATTCAAGGGCACCCAGGACACTTTCATCAAGTACTTCGTGGAAGATTTGTGTGGGTGCTAAGGATATATTTGCTATCAAGGATGTGAATCAGGGAAACGATGTATACATCTTACAAACATTGAGTCAAGTTTGATAGCTTTTAGTCATTCAAGAACTGTTGAGTACTGGATGAGAGGTCCTGGATTGTAGTGACGTGAAAATATTTTACTTATTTTTTTTAATCGTGAGGTTAGCCAAATTTTATTTTATTGACTGTTGACTTTCGGAAAATCTTCTCGACACATCTTGAACTACGTAGTTATTTTCGTTCCGATGAAAATCATGAAAATTTGACGAGTAGCTATAAAATTTCAAGATAATTTAATTCCATCAATTTACCACACATAATTTAATAGATATCGCTGCTTCTGTCTTTAAGAAAATGAGCAGAGAGTGTCAGTTTCGTTGAAAACTTTCAATGCGGAGAGTTTCAGTTTAGAGTCGAAACCTTCAATTAAATGCTATTATTTCAATATTTGTCTATGGTAAAGTGTGACGCTTTGTATGGAACAATGGTCACATGGTTGCGTGTGACATGGCGTGTGGTAACTTGACCGCCTAAACGTTAACTATGCATTGTTGTATCATGACGGTTCTTGATGTTTATTGCAAGAGGCCTAAAATTAGAAGTTAGCAAATCCAATACTTGCCACTGATTCTCGTCGAGATAATGCTTGAACATGAGTATGCAAATCGCTGATATGGTATATTCAGGCTACTGAATCCTGCATCTTGAAGCTATTTTCATCCTGCTATGCTTTAGTGATAATTAAGGTAATGACTGTCCCTTCCAGTGGCATGGGGGTCGTACGCACACTTGCTTCGTGAAGCGCTGGAGTTCAAGTCTCACCCTAACATTCATTTCATCTATTACGAGGACATGAAGGCGGACATTGATACGGAGCTCCTCAAACTCAACGAATTCCTGGGCTTGAAACTCAACAGCGAGCAGTTGAACAACGTGAGTGAGATCGGAAGCCATTCAATTTAAGTTCTGTCAATGACATAAGTTCTCGAACTATGCTCACTAAATTTATCGATTCATGATAAGTACGATGAAAAAGTAATAAATAAAAAATATAATGACGTTGCATGTAGAATTAAGTAGGTCGCAGACATTAGCTGGATATATCGGCGCCAGAACGTGACACAACTATACACAAGACCTGACCCCAAGCAGCAGCCTCGTGATTTGCTATACAAAGTCACATTTCTACTTCCGTATCTCAACATCAATGTACACATTTAATTTTAATTGATTTCCGAGTGAATTTTTTTGCAATAAATGATTCCATATTACAAACAACTCTCTTACGTATTTTACATTTTTCAATCTTTCACCGGTTAAGATGCCAGGAGTAATTAAGTATCTCAATTTAAATTTTTCTATTTGCAATAATTTCCACCCAATGTGGGTACAGTGCATTGGGTGTATATTTGAGAAATTTATTGAGTGGGAAAAAGTTTTGGTGATTAATGTCTAAAAATTTGTTCATGGCATCTGCTCTGGTAACTTTTATGTGCGACATGGAAAATTTTCCTCTGAGAAAACCATCTGGTGTATATCTGGTGAATATTGACTGGTGTTAACATTAGTAACTGAGAATCAATGGATTTAACAGTGTGTGCAATAAGAAGGGGCTTAAATTTCATCTCTACCAGAGTTCACTTCTGTGAAATTTAAATCCGTCCTCGAGCAACCATACCAGTGAAAGGTTTTCCACTTAATGCAGAAACATGTATTATGCTCGCTTAAATCTGCATTCTTATTGGTATTTCAAAATAAAACGAATATTTTCGACACTCGATTACGCAAATTTCTCCCATCATTTCTGAATATATTGTTCAATCTCATATTATTAATGTATTAAATGCTAAACAGCAGTTTTATATGAATTCATTCATGTTTTGGCAAATTTCTGTTTAGCTATTCATTCACCACTGATAATAACAAGTTCCGCGATCAATTTATTATGTCTTGATACTCGATTGATGAACTCAATATAAACTTGAATTGATTATGCAAGAATTAATAACAATTGTTCGAGCTCTTTCACGAATTAACACAATAAAGTAACGTGAACGGCTTCGCGTTACTCATAATGCTGTAGAAATCTGTTGATGGATGATCATCAATAGCACCTGCGTCAAATATTTCCGTACACAGGTGCAGCAACAGACGTGTTTCGATAGTATGCAGAAGCTGGACCCGTACCGATTGATGGTCTCTGAAGTTACGGACAAACAAGTTGCGGAAAAAGATGGTCCCTTCATTAGGCAAGGTTAGTTCACAACATTTCGTGATTTACTACGCATAGCAAGATAAACTAGCACAGGGAATTATCCTGTCACTCATGCAATAAAATTTTAATTGTTCAAGTATTCACCGTTTCCATTATTGTTGGCGTATTTTTCTTGTATATAATTCAAATAACTCAAACTCTCCGCGACCTTTCTGTCGCTAAAAAATATTTCAATGGAAGCATATGAAATGAAATGAATCAGTAAATTCCCAAGATTGATGGTTTGGTACAAGTTTGTTCTATGCTGCATAACAGATACATTCATTTTCAATGCGTTTAGTTGGTTGGCCTCCGCGCCGTCGTTGTGTCCTGCAATAAATGTGCGAGTTACTATATAAATATAGGGGCTCCACACACTTGCGAGTCTGGCTATCGAGTCCAGGAAGTAGATTCTGATTCACGAACCGGACTCGGCGATATTTATCCATACACTTTACGTATCTTTATCTCGCGCCGTCCAGCTAGTCGCATGATAAGTGTCAAGGCAAGTTACAGCTTAGGTTATTTTATTATTAAGCAGCCCCTAGAAGATCAATTGTATTGCTCAATCGTTAAGTTAATGTAATATAATAAATATAATTATATTTTTCCCAAACAGGATAATATTGTGCGTCTAGGCTCAAGCTAGAACTAGCACGCAATATTCTGCCAGTTAGTCTCTATATAGGCGATCATTTGTCTCAATTAACTATGCCTTCCTACCATGAGTGAAGGCAGAGCTGAAAAAAATTAATGTTGAATTCATAGAAAAAATCGCTTTATTTTTATGTAGTTTCATATTTTATTCCTATTATGTTGCTAACTATGGTCTAATGGTTTTCATAATGAAGCTGCATTTTTGGCGAGAACATTACACTGTGACGGTGGTGTGTCGATCCATGCAGTCATGTGATGGCAATGAATTATTTTCTTGATTTTGATAACGTTTAATCACAATTTACGCCAACATATGGGCAGGAAAAGCCGGTGGATGGAAAGGCAAGCTGACTGCCGAGCAGGAAGAAATTTTGGATGACTACATCTCAAAAAACTTCGCTGACCTCGACCTCAAAGTCCGATACCTGTGAAGATTTTTGAATAAAATATTCACGTTAATTTTGACTCAGTGTTTTGCTTTATACGTACGGGTAAAATTAAATTCAGCTATTCGAATATATGTGTTTTTTTCACGGTAACGCTAAATAGAAAATTTCAGCTTCAAACATACCAAGCAGACCACGTTCTTCATGATGGCCATCTGATGCGTGCGTCGGTCTGTACACACAATAAGTCCGCAGGAGCTCATGTATACGCCGGAGGAAGATCTAATCCGGGAATATCAGTGCGTATAGGCTAAAAATAACATATTTTTCACTTCCTCTAGACAAATAAATATGGTGTGCGTAATAGACATTTTATAGTAAAATCTCTTCAACTTCGTATTATTTAAATTGTCCCTATAAGCCCTTGCAAAAGTAACGCAACCAATGCCGTTGATGTTACAATAATTCTCCTAACACTTAAATTTTATTATTATTTATTGGATGGTGCTTAAAAAAGTAGCTTGCCCTATTAATGAAGAGACATTAAATATCCCTGGCTGTTGAACATAATGTAATTGAAATAGGTATCGCATCGGAACAAACTTGAACACAAACGAGTCTTCGAAATTAAAGGCAAATCGGTAGATTCAAAATTTATGAAATACCTATTGACAAGTTTAGTTTTTATATTGAAGCCCATCCGGACTAGAAATATTTATCTTGATTAGTTACATCAAATGACCGAAATTGCGAAATCTCTCACGCACTGAAATAAACTGGTCATTTGGTTGAGACGATGTATTTACTGCATTAAATTGTAATGGTTTACCAATTTCTCTATTAATTTGAGGATATTTTTATTACCAAAATTAACTCTCCAGCAGCCTGACCCTAATCGTCTTAGTATGCAGGAAAGCGAGCCTAATATCGCATAACCTCCATTAAATTTGACAACAAATATCTTGGGCTAATATTTGCTGAGTTATTTGATTTTGGATAAACTTTTATATAATTTTGGCAAAAGTTACACGAACGGTTTGGTTGAAAATGACGTTCTGACTCGTGTCAATATTTTGCTGATACCTTGTAGTAGGAAATCACATGTCAAAAATTGGTTGAGCTCGTTAAAGGTATAATAATTGTACTTTTCAATTGTCTTCATCTAATAGATCCGCAAATTGAAAATGATCCATATCTTTTCCATTGTCAGGATATGTAATCATCTAAATTTTTAACTCTTCAGAATTTCAGCTCATCATCAAATGGAAAGAATTCCATAACAAGCACTTGTCATAATACCGACGCAAAGCCCAAGAATGATACTTTACCCAATAACTTTGTTGTTGAACTGTTGAAAACATCTTGGGCGACCTCATATCTCCAAATAGGAACGAATCATTCTGACATTGAATTGCGGGTACTTCTGAGGTTAGCCTCATAAAACCCAGATCTCAAATTTGGGGAATCTATTCGCCGGAATCCTGTACAGAATACAAGCATGACAAACATGGAGAACTGGGAACAGGGTAGCCAAGAAGCGCCAATGAGGTCAACCACTTCTGTCAACCACGTATGTTTTCTATTTTTTTTTCATATGGGAACACATGAAAATGGAAACATTTCACGGACACATAAATCCATCAAAGTTGTTTGAAGAATAGTTGGCACACTCGCTATCTTTTCATTATAACATAAACCTATTCAGTTTATGCCAGGAGATAACCAAACAAAGGGAACAGTGAAGTATTGGTCAGTCAGCACTGCAGCGACGTAGGTGTGGCGAGGTTCGACGAGTGCGGCAGTTCCATCTGCCAAGAGCCCGTCATTCCGCCCATGCCAGATATTGTCAGCGAAACAGGACACGTAGCACACCTTTGAATGCTAGCAAAAATCTGAACGTTAACACGTTTGCAAACAACTGTGACGTTAGTACTGAGTAAAAACTCGTCTCAAATCTTAGGGCCGTAGCCCACTTCTAGGATGAAGAGAACTCTGTAGAAGATCAGTAAAACATGGTAAAGGTTACAGTTAAAACTCATCACAACCATGTTTTGATTGCAATGAACGATAATACACTTAAACGCGTTTGTACCGGCGTTGCTTTTTGAGTTACCTACAATTAGGGACTGACATTCACCCAAAGCATGAAAAATTGCCCTTATTTATATCATTTATGGTCGCGTTGTGCAATGTGAACGAATAATGCTTAATGAAATTCATAAACGATGTGATCCCTTCGAAGATAATTCTACCTTCCTAAAGGTACCCAGCAAATTATTTTTAATTTGTGATGTTTTGGGTTAAGCAAAGAAGTAGATATCTACCCCATTATGGGAGTCGAAGGTGAATATAAAGGATCACTTTATTATTGAAGTCCGAAGGAGGTCTTCAAATGAAAATATCAACATTGTATTTTTCGAGACCTTTGATGCAATGGCATCACATAGAGAATAATATCCAATTTTGTCAAATTATTAAGGATAAAATGAAAATGAAAAAATTATTTCAAATATGTTGTAAATCACTAAAATGTTACGTGTGAACACTTTTTTACTGTGTAGTAATCGTAGTAAAGCATCATATTCTTTTTATTTATAAAATTTATCTTTTTTTTGATCAGAAAAAGATAATAATGGTGTGATGGTTGATATAAATGCTAATGGTGGATGTAAATACAATATCCAAAAAGGAGTCAACCGGCAAAAAAGCATGTGGCCTGATGTTAAATAATCCATACCTAAAATAAAAGGACTCATACTGGTAATTTTTTGGCAACGATCATTCTGTTGTACCTGTTAATAGAATGGACAAATACGCACTCTAATTAAGCATCGAAAAAACGCTCACTCCAAATGTTGTTGCACTTTATTAAGTTTTTGAAGCAACATAAAGAATAATTCCGCCCATTTATTTATACGAGCCAAGCAGAATTCGTCTCGACCAAAGATCCAGCAAGACTAACGATGTGTTCAGTTCATGGCATCACATCTGAATCGGTCTTTGTAAGCGCTTCTTCATGGAAATTATTTATTTAAGAAATGTATTGAAAACTGGGCGAGTTTTGGATCGTTTGAAATATTAAGGACCAATATTTTTTCAATTTATGGTGAGTGAAATGCTTCACGCCATTAAAGAATCTTATTCTGGACCAATTTTACTAGATAATTAGTTGTATTTATTATCATAAAATTTTCCGAATTTAAAGAGAAAATGTCCTAGCAATTGAAATATACTTCATGAAAGTAGATTCTTGCGATGGATGATCCAGTTAAAATTTACAGCCTGATCAATATAGGAGCTAACATTGAGGACCAAAATACCAATGTAATAAAAAAAACAATTACTTACAGATTATTGAAATCGAAAATTAACTAAAGCCTCAACGAAGACGATTGTTCATGAAAATGTTTTACACATTCTATTTTAAAGCTGTGAAATTCAAGGAATGGAAAATAGTCCGTTGATTTAAACAAACATCATCTCGAGCCAAATGACTCAGGAAAACATTCGTGGCTTATTTTGTTGCATTCATTTCTGCAGCGAAATATTGATGCAAATACCGATAGCACATGATGCTCAAATTTTTCTAATTTGGAGTGTTACGCCAGTAATCAGAGATACCAAAATATTATACCTGCAACTTTCATATGGAGATGTCGCAAATGATGGCATAATGGCAAGTAAGGATGGGAGCAAAGGTATTGTAGCGGTCCGACTTTCTGTCGTTCACGCTCTTCTTCTTTCTTTCTTTCCGACGCATTACTCGGAGCTGAAATTGGACCTGAGCCGGGGTTGGCTCACTCTCGATGGAGCCGCCTGCCTGGACGGGCGTGGCAGGACGCAGTATATGGTCAACCATTCATTCAAAACCAAGTTATTGATTTTGGTTACTTCAACCGTCGGCCATGGACGGGTGCGGCTGCAGGCAATCGGAGCTTAAGTGCCAGTCTCAAGACGGTAACGCTTCCGGCACTGTACGTCGCCAGGACATGGTCGATGGTTTGAACATTTCTCACACTCGTCGAACAGCGTAGAAGGAAGCTGCAACTTGTTGGCAACGTTGGACAGAAGTCAAGTTGTAATCTCGGCAAGCGCTGCGCTCCTCTGCTAGAATCCAACACCTTGAATAGATTTGACTGAAGCTAATTTCGCTGAACTGTGACTTCCTCTCTGCTACAACACCGGTGACTGTGGATAGGCCCAGCCAACTTAAATGTTCAATTTTACCTTAGTTCAACTTGACATTTCCGGTCTGATGGCTACATATGATTATTGGTGTACTTCTCATGAAATTGCCTGTTTATTTATACATATTGATCGTTAAATATATAGTTCATGCTTGCATTTATAGTCTGTTCATTCTATCTAACTATCCCGTTGGGGTAGCCCATATGTGTTGCCCCCTCTCCCGGAACAGTATCATACCCTTCTGGTGGGGCATCAGTCATCAAGTGCATGGGGCAAGTTTCTGGTGGCATCGATCATCAAGTGGGGCAAGTTTCTAGTGGGGCATCGATCATCAAGTGGAGCAAGTTTCTGGTGGGGCATCGATCATCAAGTGGAGCAAGTTTCTAGTGGGGCATCGATCATCAAGTGGGGCAAGTTTCTGGTGGGCATCGATCATCAAGTGGGGCAAGTTTCTAGCGGGGCATCGATCATCAAGTGGGGCAAGTTTCTGGTGGGCATCGATCATCAAGTGGGGCAAGTTTCTAGTGGGGCATCGATCATCAAGTGAGGCAAGTTTCGTTACCCAGCAACGCTGGCTAAACATGCTACGTCGGGTTACCATTCTAGTGGCATGACCGCGAACAATAGATTTCTATTTTCCAATAGTGCAACCAATACTTTGGAACACCAGGCCGGTGCTTTAAAACAATTTTCTATTACAATTTATTAATAAAAACACAAATGACAAGTATGTTCCAACAGCAGTAATATATCCTCTGCACTTTCATCAAGTATACATGAAATAATATGCGTTTAAAAATTACTTTTTAAAGACAACACTTCTGAAGAATCCACTGTCTTGGATGTTACACGTGTACAATGAATTTCTAATTTTATTTTCATATATGAAAAAATTATTTTTCAAAAATTTTATAACATATCAAAATTTTGTAAATTTTCAAAATTATTTATTGTGTCAACTGATTCATGCATTGTCTCCAACTTTATACAAGTGTGCCAAATTTCAGATCGATTGGACAGGTAGAAGTGTGTTAAATATCGATTATAAGATTTGTATGTAGCAGACAGACAGACAGACAGACAGACAAACAACAAGAAGTGAAGTTAAAGAGAAGTGTTGTAATAAAAATATTGCGCGGCATATTGTGAACGAATATTTATGTTGAGGTGATGTATGCTATGTTTTAAAGAGAAAGTTTGCGACACA